AATAGGACACCATACCTGCTTTAATCTCATCAACCTCTTCGACACATCTCTCTCCAATTTGAAGCGCATGTATATTATTTCGTCGCCTCCTCCCATTAACACACAAATGAAAGAACTTTGTATTTAAATCACCCTCCTTCCCCCATCTCACCCCGAGCTTTTTAGGCTATGAGACTCTCCCTATTCTTCCTAGCCTTCCAAATATCCCCACTAATATATGTTGACGCTCCTTCTCCACATTGGAAAGTTCCATCACAAAATTTTTATCATCAATCAAACTCAACTCAGTTATCAAATCAGATATCACCTTATCAACATTTCCAAATACCTCAATATTCTATTTTTTCAATGCAATCTTAACATTCCTCAATCTCTGACTAGCTCTCTGGGCAGCCCATAGAAGTGTAATCTCTCATTTTCATGCTTCCTCTACCACTTCCACAACTCCTTTAAGAGTTTCTTTAATTTGTTCTATGCTTCATGGAAATATATTTTATTTCCTTGAGATCATTTGCTTCTAACAAATTTGTATTATATTTTATTTTTTAAAAAAATTTATTTTTAAAATAAAAATCAAACATAGTCTTATTCACCCTCTTAAATGAAACAAATGATCTCAACTCCCATTTTATTAGACCTTGAAAAAAGAAAAGCATCCTGAAAAAAAAAAAAAAAAACTCTGACTAACTTTTCTAATGCAATGGAAACTTATTTTGTATAATATCATTGTTTTCAGCAAAGGAAAATGTTAAAACGTTTCAAGCAACTGATTTCATTTTCTTGCATTTGGTTACTTTGGTTGCAAAGCAATAAAATAACCTTCAATTTGTTTTAGTTGAGGATGATAGGGTTTTGACAATAATTAAAGTTAGAGATTGGTGTTAAATTAATCAAACAAGAAGTCTATGTATTTACTTTTCATTTACAAAGTAATATCTCAATCCAATTAGGAGTATCAAATTGAGTTTGACCCAATAGAACGACCGGCCCAACTTTGCTAAAAATAACATGTTAGATTTTACACTCTCGTGTCTTGACATTAGAGGCATATATGAAATTGTTAAATTTAGTAATAATATAAAACATTTTGTCCTTATAAGCATTACTTTTAATTTTATAAGCAAATATATAAGAGAACTAAACTTATGTAAACACTTAAATAAATGTGAGATATTAAGCACAATCAATTAAAAAGTGACAACATGTAGAAAAGACAAAAAAAGATTAGTGGACTGAAAATTTTAAATGAGTTGTATTTTTATTTTTGTTATGCATTAGGGAATAGGGATGGACAGATCTTACTATGCAAACAGTTTTTTATAGCGACTCATAATGATATTCTTATAAGAAATATTGTAAAATTATTTGGATGAAGTAAGGTTATGTCATACATGTCTTAGATATAATGTATGTTTTTGTCATTGTATAATAATGCATGTGTGACGGTTAAGTCACCTTAGTTTCAGTATAACTAGGTTAGTTTGACTTGCAATTTTTTCAAGTAATACTGTAAGTATAAATGAAGAGTGTCCTGCTTGTGACGATGGTCTTAAAAAATTTATCACAATTCAAAATTCGAAGATTTTTTTTTCTTTTTTATCTTTTTTAACGTGTTATTATATTTCCATTAATTGTGCTGTGCCTATCACATTATATCTGAGCTGGTGCTCGTAAAAGCTTTACGCTTCATAACAATTAAGAACCAAAACCGTTGAAATAGTTAAGTTCTTTATATCATCCAATTGCTCTAATCAATGATTAACAATTATAAAGTCTTATGGGTTATATTAAAATGTTATTTTTTAAATTGTCTGAATCATTATTTTTATTCTCTATATTCAATATCAATTTTATTCTCCAAAAATTTCTGAAAATAAATTAATCTTTAAAGGTTGAAAAGAATTTCATAGTGGTAACTCTATCAACTTAAATGTATGTTATGCTAATTTAATTAGATCATTTTGTTACTTAAAAATATTTTAGAAACTAATTTAATTAATTTGATGTTACAAATATTCAAAATACCAATTTATTATGAAATGTATTTAGTGCTTTTAGATAATTATATGAATGAATAATTGTTTATCAAAATAAACCTTTTCCCGAAATAGCTAATTTTCAAAAATACTCTAAACGCTATTTACATGAAAATGAGACACCAATAATACTTGTCTTGTCTACCCTTCATTAATAAGCAACATTCTATTCCCACCATCAATGGTACCACGATCCTATGCACCTCGATTTTTCTATCTTGTCCTTCATCTTGCTTACTTTTATCGACAACGGTTTTAGATTTTCTCAATATATTTAGTAAAATGGTTTTATTTTAACGTATATCGAAGTATAGATGATTAAAATTTATATATAATATTTTTTATTAAAATAATAAAATTTAATACATCATTTATTATTTGTTATTGTGCCTATTAAAATACATGCCAAAAACTATGATAATTTATATTAAAGAAAAAGGCTATAACATTTGCTTCTAGACTAAATTTAAATATGTAAAAAATTTGTGAATCAATTTACAAGAGTAAATTTAACAAGAGTTTCTTCATTTAATGATTTTTTATAAATATTAAATTTCTTCCTTCAATTTAATTTTTAAACAATTTTATATATTTATATCAATCATGTATATTAAACTTTTAGATGAATTAGACTTTCGTAAATATATAATTTTATAATCAATATTTCATTGTATTTTACTATATATTACACTTTAAAATACATTCGTCCAGTAAATTATTAATTAAATTTTAATTGGTATTTTTTTTTCAAAATTAATCTATTAAAGTATAGTTTTTAATTCAATGATTGGATAAAAAAATTAATATTTATATTATTGATCAGGATAACTTTTGTTAGAATTACTCTTAAAATAACTTGATCTCCTCGCATCTAAAAGTAGTATTTTTTAAAAAAAAAAATTTACTATACTAAAAATATTAAAATATTATACATATTTAAATATGAAAATTTATGATGTTTTTTGCAATATATAAAATCTGTTTTAAAAACCTACGTTATCAAAATCGTATCATAAAAACATAGTTTTGTCAGGAAAGGTTTTAGTATGTTATGAATCAACGTAGGACAAGAAATTACGGTTTTTATTCAACACGAATTCATAACATTAAATAACTTTGTTCGTTACTGTCAGTCATTAAAATTGATTTAAATATTTAAAATTAGTAAAATATTACTAGATTTTTTTAAATATTAAAATATAGTATCTTTTTAATAAAATTATAATACTTTTAGTTACTTAAAATGAAAATAATTTGAACTCGGATATCAATATTTTTTTCATAAAATTAGTAAAATTTAAATAAATAAAAATAATAAAAATATATTAATAATATAATTTTTATATTATTATCTAGTCATAGAATGTTAGATAAGCTAAAATAATTTTGTTATAATATTTAATTTAAAAATTAGAATGATCATAAAATTTAATTATTTAATAATATAATATTTTAATATTACAGTCTATCAAAATTAAATCTAAACATGATAATTTTTTTAACAAATTTGTTTTCTCTATTTTCTCTGGAAATATAACATTGCACGTTAAAAATCCTGCATATCTCTCTTGTTTGCTGTGCGCTCTATTTTATAATGGCACCAGATCCGAAGCAAATTAAACCTCGCGAAATTAATGCACCACACCACGTGCAAGTCTTCTACTTTCATCATTTATCATATATCGTTTTTTGATTCATTACATAGAAAAAGAAAGATGAACACTGGAAGGCTGGAAACTACACATTTGGATCCATGATGACATGGATATTGGTGGTGGTGCTCCCATTTTGGACACGTGTGTAATGATGACATTGTACATGGGAGCTATGGACCCTGTTTTCTATGGTTTCGACAATTCCCTCTGTCATGACTCATGAAAAGCTTTCTCATTCTTCCCTCTCTCTGTTTCACGACGAATATTGTGTCACGTCTATATATCCTTTACTGAACAACCGTTAAACAAGAAGCAAAAGAGAAAAGGAAACAATACAAAATTAAGATTAAAAGCTACTTTCCTTTTTGCCTATTTGTTCAAACAGATAGCTAGCTAGGATATATGTATAATATATGGCAGCACTTACCAATTTGCTTCGTGGGTACATTATGATGACGATTGTCATGTGAACCGTTGAGCGTTCACTTTCAATTAAGGCCATGCAATGGCTCCTCAGCACTTCTCATCTCTTTAAATGATATACATACATATTTAGTAGCTTTTAATAATTGAAGATCAACCCCTAAAGGACAATAACACTTACAAAATGGTCCAGATTCTATCATAACATATATTCATTTTTTTTAAATGATTCGACCAAAACAAGGCGAAGGAGAACATGGTTTCCATTATTAACCGAACAAATCCATAAGTTTAGACTTGTAGGGTTGGTCCGTGGATTCGTAGAGTCCTTAATTACCTTTTTTCTATATTATATGGTGTAGGCTGTAGGTTCGGTTGTCGTTGTAAGTGTTTGCTGATTTTGAGTATATGGTAATTGTAAGCAGATACCTTCAATCATCGACTCGAGTATGAGATGAGAAAGACTTTAATTAGTTAAAGCAGTCATTTCTTTATTTGCCAGGCACACATGGTCCCCACACCAAATAGGGGAATCATAGCTCGGGATGGAGAGGATATTCCAAATGACCTAAAAGAGTTATAATGCTTAATATAATACCTTTTTCATTATATTAAATGTCTTGTTATACTTTTTCTCTTTTTCCCTTCCTCTCTTTTTATTGTAGGAATAAAATATATAAGCATCATTTCTCAGAGAAAATGAATGCCAAACATAAAAAAGTAAGTGAAGCTACGGAAAGCTGAAAAGGAAACATGCAGCCAAAAGGAAGGAGGAACAAAATACACTTTTCATAGAAAATTACCAAATAACAATTAATGTCCTATCCATGAATTCTTCTAATAATGAATAATAAAAACAGCCCCAAGAATTAGCTGAAACCCCTTATTGTACTGGGAACACTGAAAGAGACGGTCTCAATTACAATGGCTGCCAAACATTAGAACACTAATTCAATGTGGGAATTTTTGTGTTCTCTGTATACTTCCCACAAAACCAATTTAATTTTTTTTCCTTCATCACCTGCACATAAAGAAGCTTCTACACTTCTACTTCTATCTGAATGCCGATATTGCGCTGTTGCAGAGACCAGATAAAGAGAAAGCAGTTAGCTGTACAAAAACAAACCTCACCAGCACCAGCACCGTCTCTCCAGGGCAACCAATAGTCGCACGCTCGTTTTCGTTTTACCTCGTGTCAGGTTAGCTTCCTCACCAGTGTACAATAGCCAGGACTATTCACTACGCGCTACAAACCCTCTCCTTCTCCTCTCTCCTTACCCATCAACCTCCATGACTCTTTCTCTCTCTAAAACTAAAACTAAAACGCACGCTCTCTCTCTCACTCTCTCATTCAAGGCATTCAATGTAAACGAACCCACTGGTAGCGACCCTCCAACGGCATATCTCTAACAATATCAAAGTTGTACCTGCACACAAGGGAAAGTTGTTAGTTAGTTAGGGTTCGATTCTGGCAGCGCTAGTCTGCGAGGAGGGTCACATAAGATATCATGTGTCGCGCAAATAAATGAAATTAAAATGAAAAATAAATTCATGAAAACGCTACTAGCTAATATTAGCTATGTACTACTCACTTCTCTGCGAACCGCTTTTGATCGTACTTCTCAGCCATTTCAAAGAACTCTTCAATCTCCGCCTTTGGCGGCATCTTCACTTTTCGATGCTCGCTCACTGCCACCGAAGGCTTCGCCGGAAACATCGTCGATTCTTCCGAGTCTCCACAAAATTCATTCAACAATCTGAAATAGAAAAGAAAGCATGTTGGTACCAGGTTAGGCTGGCAAGTGGTGACTCCTTGTGAGAAAATTCAACGTGCATATAGATATACATATGGACGGAGAAAAAAAAATAAAACTGGAATTAAAACCTGAACGATTTGAAACTGCGGTTGGTTGAGTCGACCGTTTCCAAACCCTTGATCTGCATTAATTCGCGAATATTAACAGTAAATACATAAATTAAATAGTTTAATTAAAAACAGTAAATTGTAGCAGAAAAAGAAACTGAAAGGATATTGTTTGGCATTCAAGAAAATTTGGACAATCAACATGGAAAAAACTAAAACTCCAACCGCATGAAAATACGAAAACGAAAGTAATCAATTCATAAATTCAGTTTCTAGAACTGAACCTCCAGATCCAACGGCGTGGCGTCGAGCTCCTTAACGTAGCTGGAGCTGCAGCAAGACATCAGAGAGCGGTCCGAGCAGAATTCACCGGAAACCACCGTGCCGGCGGAATTGACAGAAGCTTCCGGCGAGACGGTTATGTCGGGAAAGCCCCCGATCGAATAACGTGAGTTGGAGTGTAACTGCAACTCAAACGAAGAAGAAGAAGCAGAAACTGCAGTAGTTTTCCTTTTCTTGGAAATGGTAGGGCCACTTGAAGATGCATCCTCCATGGCCGCAATTGTTAGAGCACAGCGTTTACAATCACCCATTTCTTCTTCTTCTTCCTTTTCTTCACACCCCCTCACACACTATTTTTTCTATTTTCAGATGGGCTAGGCTTAGAGAGAGAGTGAGAGAGAAGGAACTTAAAAAGAGGGTGATCGCAGAGGAATATTGATGAGCGTGGTGATTCGATGGACGGTCCTGATTTAATTTATTTATCAACGGCGGGGCCCTTTTGTCTCCCTCCTTCCGTCCTTCTTCTCCCTCTGCAGTATACAGATAGGTGCAATTAAAACGTCATAGCTAAGATGACTGCTACACTGTTACTCTGTTGGGTTGTTTCTGTTACGGCTTCAAGTATATAATTATATTCTATAAAAAATTCTTCTAGATTCAGTTTTTATTTTTAAATTACAAATAAACGTATATTCTTTTCTAGATCTTGATGGATGGATTAAATTACAATATATTTTAAATTGAGTGAAGAAACATACTTATTTAATTGTTTTATAATAAATATACAAGTTCAATTATTTTAAAAAAATGGTTTTTAAAATATAATATTAAAATTATAGAAATAAAAAATTGTCTTTTAGGTTTTCTCTTCCTGCTGGTGGGGCCAACTTCGCCAAATATCGACACGATAAAAATGCGAACCTGTTCCCACTCCGATTTGCAACAGCCCATGTGAAATGCTTCCTTTAATGGAATACATTACACCTTTACATCGAAATTTTTGTGTTTTTCTTTCTTTTGTTTTCCTTAAAACAAATAAAGCTCTTTCCCTTTTTTTAGAGAAATTATTTATTCACCCTGCGTTAATAAAATGCAATAAATTCGAAGATTTTTAACTTGAAGGGCAAAATAAGATCCAACAACGCTTACTCGCTTGGTTTAAAAGGATAAGCAGGGTATGGAAACGTAAAATATACATATAATCACTTGTGATCTAGGTGTTATTTATTTTTATATTTAGAAATGTTGTCCCTTTTACAAGTCCAAAGCGAAAATTTGTACTTTTAAACCATTTTGGAGAAAAAGGATAAAATAAAATAAGAAATCCTCCATTTATTCCAAAAGAATAAAATTTTCCTCTATAATAACTGAACTTATACCCTTCTAACAACTGTTAGATATTTTAACATATAACAAGTGATTGATTGTTACGGTACTTTTATGAAATTGGTAATTAAGGTGATTTTCGAAGGTTTAAAAAATGAAGATTTTATAATAAATACTAAAAATTGTATAATATAATAAAAATTTTAACAACTGATGATGTTTATATCAAATCATAAAAAAGTTAAAGCATCGTAAAAAGCAATACACAAACTTACAAGTTGTAATTGATTATAGGGTTAAACTTTATTGAATTTTAACTGTCATGTGCTATTAAAGTAACCTTATTCTTCCGTTTCAAAATAGGTTTTATGGAAACTTAATTTAGCCAGTAATGTTTAGAATCTTTAACCTTTAAAGTGAAGTTACTTATTCACAATACGTGAATTCTTATATATATAGTAAATTCGAAATAAAATATAGTCTCAATTCTTCATCGATTCAAACTGACAGTGATTAACTTTTAGAATCAATTTAAGAAAAGTAACTAAAAGGTGTTTTCTAATTCAATTCTGATTAGTGTACGCTCACGCGTGTCAGTTGCATTAGGTATTGCAGGATCCATCGACAATATATGTGATCAATCATTTTGGGGTCTTGCAATGCACATGTAAAATGATTGCCGAAGAATTAAAATGCAGAAACTTATTGGATTTTGGTTGATTTATTTTGTTTTGGGTAAGTATTTTTAGCGTCTGACAATTGACAATCATTCAAAGACCAAATCACCAAATATTATGTCTTTATTATTAAAACTGAAAATTGAAATTTATTTCAGTCAGAGAAGCATACTTTGATTTTTAATGACAGGGATGAATCACATAATGATATACTCGTCCACACAAATAAACCAAGCTGAAGGGGCCGATAAACTGCTCTTTTACGCTCAATATATGAAAAAGAGATTAAATAGAAGGAAGGAATAAGGAAAAAAGAAATAAGAGATGAAAAATAAGATAAAAATATATATTATTTAGATGAATAAAAATAAGAGAGGAAAAAGTGAAAATATTTTAGAAAAGTAGAATTGAGAGTGAGAAAAAATAAATATTTGCATACAAATTTTTAAATTTTTTTTATTATAATATCATTTTAATAAAAAAAAATATTTCTAATATTATATATATATCATTAAAATATTCTTTAACATAAAAATCATTAAGAAAATCAACACTCCCACTAATTTCCCCTGTTTTGGGAGATAATTTTTTCTTGAAACTAAACCCCAATTTTCTTCCTTTTTTTTCTTCTTCTTTTCGTTTATATTCAAACAAATAACTTATAAAATAAATACATCGAAGTGAAAATTATATTTCTACATTTTCTTAATAAAAATACAATTAAAAGAGAAATAAAAAGAAAAGAAAAATGACATAAGTAATGTAATAAAGAGATAAAAAATAATATTATAAAAATACAATAAAAATTATTATATAAATAATACAACTCATTTGAAACCTCGCTGAGATTTAATTAAATTTATTTTGACCTTGTATCTTTGTGGCTAGCTATCGCACCATAGGCTCCTATGCCACTTTTGTATTTTCTTTATTCCCATTTCGACTGCCATTTTTGCACACACTAAATTAGTCCCATGCATGGCTTCAACTATTAGCTTTTATCTTAATATTAAGTTGTAAATGGGGGCTACAGCAACAGTTGGGGTTCTATGTTCAAATTTCAAATCTTGCAGATTCAATTGACAATTGCTATGGCCATGTATGATGTATATTTACATGGAATGGACCATTAGCTGTGACTCCATTATTAGAAAATAGAAAAGACCGTTGGTGAATATGTTCAATATCCCTCATCCCAACTTGTACGTTAAGGTAACTTAGTCACGCTTCCTTATTGCGAGTTTAAAGCACATGAAACTTTGGTCAAGTTTCAGGTTCCCCTGAAAAAAAAAGCATTGAAACAGCTTTAAACTCATGAAGGGGCAGTTTATATTTTGCTACAGCTTTATTACTGGCAGAAAGTAGATGGACTCAAGCTAAGAAAACTCACGGTGGTAAATAAGGGTAGGTAAAGTTCCTTTCCTTTCGTTACTTTTTTGGTGAAAGGTATAGATTGTGTGCATGATAATATGCATGCAATAAAGTCTATAAATTAGCAAGGATAACGTTGTCTGTAAATCGAAACTTATTATATCACTTTTATATATATTTAAATTAGTAAGCTTTTGCATGCAAGTCATAAACACATGCCTTAAGTATATATTTAAGAGAAAATGTATCAAAGCAAAAATTGTGACCATTCAGGAAATTACGTTTGATAGTAAATATTTAAAAATATAGTACTCACACAATTCTCTTTATATTTGTCCTGATTTTAGTATTTAATTACTGATGGCCTTTACATTATATTAAGTATAAAAAATTTACTTCTGTCGCTAAGGATGAAGTGACAGAGAACTAAAAATTGTGCCAAAAAAGCATTAATCAGACTGTTTAGAACCAAACAAGCAGCAGAGACACAGAGCAAAAAGAAAAGGAAAGAAGAGAAAGTACTTTGCTAATGATTAAATTGTAAGCTTATTGTTTACAGATAGTAGATGCAGTTTGTTAGAGATAGTGGGGACAATAGATGGGCTCTCCTTCCAATGAAAGAGATGGGTAAATGGGTGGGATATTAAAGTGATGCAAAATAGATATCCCATTCCTTAATGGCTTATATTTTGTAGTATGGACTTCGATCTAACACCATTGAAGATGTTAACTTCTATTTATCAAGCGAGTGTTTAGAATTAATTTAAATTGAATTATAATTTATAATGTTGAAATGATTTTGTTTTTGGGTGAATTTGACATTCAATGTAAATGCATGCTAAACCGTGCTATCGTTTGGTTTATTTTTGTGCAAGGAGACTAGTATAGTTGGTCAGGAGAGAGCATCAATTTGGGTCCAATTTGTTTAGTTATCTATCATTATGTCCATGGACAACCCAAGGCAGATTAGAACAATGCAAATATCAAAGGCAATGATGTTTCAGAACTGAGGTGGTATGATAAAGGATTTGAAGACTAATGAGAGAGTTGGGACTTTATGCTTTTGTACTTGCTTTGTATGAATTGATCGTAAAGTAGTTGATGGTTAAAGCTATTAAAAAAAGGGGGGCCAATGAACAAAAATTGGGCAAACCCGCAAACCACGCTTGTGGCTTGCGGGCAAAACTATTTCATATATTGTGAACAAAAAAAAAAGTGTCAAAAAGAAACAGACATAGGATGATTCCACAATCCCACTCAGGTTCTCACGGTAACAAGTTCTATATTGTAGGTTCTCATTTTACAAGTATCAAAATATTCAAAAGGAGGACAACAAAGCAAGCTTTTGATTCACTTTTCATTATCATTATTAAACATTTCTACTTCGATCCAGTATTTCATAGTCTCTTTTTTCCCCATCTTTTTTTAAGTTAGTGAACATTTATCATTCTCCAACTTGATGACTGTTACAGCCTTTTGCAGGTGGGGGGGGGGGGGTTGTCTTTTGCTGTAAGCAATGAAAGGGATAAAAAATATTATTAATATAATTCTTTTATAATTTTTAATATCCTTTTCAATAAAACTTCTTATGTATTAATTCTTTAAAGGTACCGATGAAAAAGACTCTTACACATATTTATCACCATCGTTATCGTAAGAGTATGTACAAAATCTTCTTGTGATTTTTTTAACACAAGGAAGATGGGGGAGTTCAATGAGTGAAAACTGCTGACATCATCAAGAGAAGCTAATTTAATAGGCTGGAGTGAAAAAGAAATTTAAATTAATAATAATGAAACGATATCAAACTCAATATTTAAATTTGATCTACCCATATATAAATAACAGTTAATACGTATGCAATGTTTTATTCCGTATATTAATAGCATCACCTGATTCGTATAAATAGTTCACGTCACAGAGGTGCATGTACACACCTAAAATTGCTACCAGTATTACTGAGACTCAGCGACTGATCCGAGCGGCACT